TCTGATTCTGCTATTGAGTTCAATAGGTTCTTCTCTTCCATTGGTTCATCCCTTGCAAATGATATTCCATCTTCCAGTACAGACATTAATGACTATCTTTCAGGTAACTATCCACAGTCTCTGTACCTAAAGCCTATTAATTCCACTGACGTCAATGAGATAATCCTTTCCCTTAAAACCAAGTCTGGTGCCCTTGAGGAGATACCAACTTTAATTTACAAAAAAGCCTCCAGATCTTTAGCCCCTGCTATTGCTTTGCTCTTCAACAAGTCACTTGAACTCCAAACCTTCCCAGATATTCTAAAAAAAGCGAGAGTAACGCCTGTCCACAAATGTGGTAATCTCACAGATGTTAACAACTACAGACCTATATCTATCCTGCCAAACTTGTCAAAAATTTTTGAAAAACTAATCTATAAGCAGCTTTACTCATATCTAGCCAAACTCAATATACTTAGCCCTTGCCAATATGGCTTCAGACCCAAAAAAGCACTAACGATGCACTTATTAGTATGCTTAACTCGATTCATACAGCTCTTGATAAAAATGAGTTCCCTGTTGGGTTGTTTGTGGACCTGCGTAAAGCTTTTGACACTGTCAACCACCAAAACCTTCTTCTTAAATTACATCATTATGGAGTCAGAGGACATTCCCTACAATACCTCAAATCCTACCTTACTGACAGGCTCCAATATGTTTCTGTGAATAATACAATTTCTCCCACCCTACCCATCAACATTGGTGTTCCCCAGGGCAGCATACTTGGCCCTCTCCTCTTTCTCATCTACATTAATGACCTTCCAAATGCCTCCCAACACCTCAAACCAATTCTATTTGCTGACGACACAACCTTCATTTACTCCAGTCCTGATCCCCTTGCTCTAAATGCCACAGTAAATACTGAGCTAAATAAAGTCCATCTGTGGCTAACTGCCAACAAACTCACCCTTAACATTGACAAAACCTTTTATATTCTGTTTGGCAATAAATCCTCTAATCAAATAAATCTCAAAATAAACAATACCCAAATTTGTAACAAATTAGATGGCAAATTCCTTGGCATTCTCATTGACCACAAGCTTAATTTCCAGGGACACATTCTAAACATATCAAAAAAAGTTTCAAAAACTGTGGGCATTCTTTCTAAGATCAGATATTATGTACCACGCCCTGCCCTGGTGACTCTCTATTACTCCCTTATCTATCCATATCTCAACTATGGTATTTGTGCTTGGGGCTCTACTACTCAAAATCACTTACGTCCTCTAATTACTCAACACAAAGCTGCTATTAGGACAATATCCAATTCTGGCCCCAGACATCACTCGGTACCCCTACTTAAATCTCTGAATATGTTAGACATTAAGTCACTGCACATTCTCTCATGTGTATTATACATATATAAAACGCTAAACTATAATGCCAATCCTGATCTCAAAAGCTTCATAGAAGGTTGTATCAGAACCCATGAGCATCACACCAGAAATAAATACAGTTTTGATATTCCTAGAGTACGACTTAATCAAACTAGAAATGCTCTACAAATCAAGGGGCCCAGAATGTGGAATGACCTTCCCAACCATGTTAAAGACTGTACCTCTCTCAACCAGTTTAAGTTAAAAGCGAAGCTATACCTAATAAATCCCCTGTAACCTACCTTACCCTTCTATTGTCAACCAATGTCTGTTTTTTTCTTTAAAGAGCGCTGTTTGTCGACATAATTGTATTTGTGCTGCTTTTTCATCTATGTTTTCATTTCTTGTTTTCATTCTACTCATTATGCTCAATTAGTATTAAGCTTGTCATTTAAGTTTATCATGCCCGAAACGCTTTGCGTAATAGTGGCTTTAGGCATTGTATGTACTAGCTCTACCTATAAGTCAAACAATCCTTGTAAATATTTATTGTATGTATGTACCTTACCTAAATAAAATTGTATTGTATTGTATTGTATTGTATTTATGTTACATTCGCCTCACTGCTAATTCTAGGCAATAGGCCATTAGGTTTCTGCAGAGTTTGTTACTAGGCTATAAGATTACTTTTATTTTACTACGGGTGTACAATTTAAGTTGTTTCGGTGTACTTTGAGTTAGCCACGGCTATGTTATATAATTGTTAAGACTTACTTAGACGCCTGTTTTACTTCTGCAGAAATTTTTTACCTGTACTTCTACTACGTAATAAATAAGCCCCCATACTGTTGGTGTCTTCCTTTCCCTGATCAGAAAATCACAGTATTCTCAGGATGGGGCGCCATTATCCCTGAAATACAACAGCTAACTTTCTGACCACCTGTGCACAGACGTCTCCAAAGGAGGGGCTACCAGAAAAAGCCATAAAACCCTCATACAAAGTAAGTAAAATGTGTGGTATCAATGACAGCCAGTCCAAAGGTTGTTGAGCAATGCTTCTCTGCCTGTCGGAAGCGGTGATCGGCTCGAGAATTCTCTTGACGGCGCCTGCAACTGGTGGGTGCTTCACTCTGGGCCTCATGTTCCATCGGTGTCACAATTCCCTGGGAAAGCGCCTGGGGGAACCAGAGGATCATCAGGGCTATCTGATGGAGCAGAACCTCCTGATCGATGCATGTGTCGACGACGCCGGTATTGGCTTCTCTGGGAGGAGGCAGGGGGGGTGACGAGTCCCAGGCTCCGGCCGAGACTGAGCGTCCATATCTGTATTCATGGATGAGTTTTCGTCCATGTCGAGGTGACCCAGGAGGGGAAAATCGATTAGCAGCCTATGCGTATGAGGCATATGTGACTGGGACAGGCAAGAGCGTGTGTTAGATCCTACATGTGAGACCAGGGGGAACCTGGAGGCGAGAAGGAGCGATAGGCTGATTGAGGGCGCGCAACCTCAGGAACAGCTCATGTCGAGGGTTCCCCACTGTTTTATGATCGATGTCCAACTGGAGGGCCTCAAGATATACCGGGAAACTCTTGAACGTAACCTTATGATGGCCATGGCATAAAAGGCAGCGAGGTGCAGCAGAGCACCCACCGTTATCGCTGTCTGTATATGCCTGTTTTGCCACAGTTTGCACAGCGTGCTGCATTATGGCAGGTGAGGCGCCTGTGGCCCAATAGATGACAAGCATAGCATCGTAACACAGGGAAATTGTCGGGTTGGACCTGATACGAGGTCCTGAGTAGTGCCACCCGGTCAGGGAGGGGCCCATCGAACTTTACATTGACCATGGATGTCGGTCCTGCTGCTCCGCAAATCTCTGGTAACTTCCAATAATCCTGCTGATACACCCCCTAACACCTGTAGAGCGGCCTGGATGTCATCCACTTCAACACTTGGTTCAATTGGGCCAATTTTCCCATGCTGGGCCCGAGACAACTCCTGCGACAATACCTGTCGGCACCTGACAGGCCAGTCCCCCAACTTAATAATGTCGGATACACGGACATGCAATAGGAGCTCAAGTCGATAGACTCGCTATCGATAGAGTCGATAGACTCAATCAACTTGAGAATGGTCCAGGACGGACCGAAACGTCGTCGTCCCTTCACCTTCTAGTGTGTGATTCAGCCACATTATTGAGACTCATCGCTTGCATGAGCTAGTATGTTTAAACTGCTGATATCTGACATATCAGCAGTTTAAAAAAAACTTAAAATTATTCTTTCTGTTTATTTAGGTAAAATTAATATCTACTGTTCTCTTGCTGTTTCATTCAACAGCAGAGACTTCTGCTGTTGAATGATTTAAAATTTCTGCTGTTTCATTCAATATGTAATTATTGTAAATTTTTCTACTTCAGTCTGCTGCTAGATGTTACTACTGCTCGCCTTAGACTCGGTTACAAGTATCTCTGGGAATTCTCATTATCTGTCGATGTAGACCTGACCAAATGTAAACTGTGTCAACAAAATTATTCGCACACCCTCCGTCACTATGTGATGGAGTGCGAAAAGATACGTGAATTTAGAGACAATTCTATAACCAATGTTCCAACGATGTGCAAATATTTCATTCAAAATGATCTGCTACCAGAAATTTTAGCCAAATATCCCCAGTTTGCTAACTGTAGGTAGTAACTGAGTGATTGTAACCTATCCACTGCTGCCCACTGGATGGGGGGCGGTGTGCAGGACAAACATATCAATTGTGACACTAGCTCTCCACATATGTCAGTTGCTTAATTTAGAAACTGTACTTGTGGTCGATCTCGAACCCATTGTTGATGTGACGACTTATATTGAATTTTGTAACTAGCTCATCAAGATTGTAACTTGCTTAGCTCAATGAATTGTGGGGTTCAGTCCCTGAGCCCATTATGTGCCTCTGTGACCCATTTCACTACCGCCCACAAGACGGGTATGGGGTGCATAATAAATGAACTAAACTAACTTCTACTTCAGTTAAATTTTTGCTTTTGATCTCAATTAGTTTTAAGTCTAAGTTTTTAAGTTTATTTTCCCACATCATCATTATTTTCCCACGTTTATTTCCCACTTGCTCTATCTAGAAATCCAACATTCAGCTTATAACTCATTTTATATGTACGGTATCTACTTTCCCTAAATAAGTATTATTATTATTATTATTATTATTATTATTATTATTATTATTATTATTATTATTATTATTATTATTGAGTAAATCCGTAGAAACCGTGATGAGGATTCGAACCTATGCTTTGGGTATTCCCAGTCACTCGCCCCAGACAATCAGACCACGACATGGTCAAAAGGATTGCAACCTGGAGTTCTACTGAACATACAAAGGATCCTGAGGCTTCCACTGAAGCCGGACCAGGGTTTTACACAATCCTCCCCATGCACTCTGGCTTCTGTCATCTACGAATGTTCTACCTCTAACGCTTCTCTAGACATTAACATGTAAAATCCATGCATATGAGAACATGGAAAATTAAAATATGCACATCAGTGGAAGAAGACATGGTAGGTAGACCCCATACTAAACAGTGCAGGTGTATGTACGAAATCAGAACACTTAAGAGAGACAGCATGTATGATACTTACGAACGGCCGCCTTGGCAGGATCCTTATTACCGCTATCTGTTGGAAAACATTGAGGAAAGACAAGGTTAACTACCAGTGAATAACATTACATCTCAGGCAAGCACATATGTCATGCTCTTTAGGCAGAGTCCTCCATCTAACTTGGCCTTGTTGGAAAGACTATATACAGTATTCCTTATGTTAAACTGATAAGCAGAGTTTTCCTGAAGTTATATATTTTTCTCTTTTTTTTTACCTGATGGAATGATAGAGCTTTGCATTATATTATATACGTTTTTATTTTTTTTAACTAGCAGTACCCGGCCACGCCGTTGCTGAGCCACAGTAACCTTCCTTGTCCCCCAGTCCTCCCCACCATTCCCCCCTCACCTGTCTCCTTGGCCTCCCAACCATTCCCCACTCCACCATCCCCTCGTCCTCCCTACCATTCCCCACTCCACCATCCCCTCTTCCTTCCCACCATGCCCGACTCCCTTGTCCCCCTCGTCCTCCCCACCATCTCTCACTTCCGTCCCCTCGTCATCCCCACCATTCCCCACTCCCTCGTGCGATGCCTTCCCAAATGTCTGATGTTCCCATCAGAAAATTGGGAACATCAAGTGATCTGATGTTCCCATCACTGAAATATAAGAAAATCAGATACAAAATTAAATGAAAATATGAAAAAATGAAAATTAAACTATACTCACGAAATGAACGGTATGGTAAACAACACAGCTCAATTCCAATGCAATTCACACAAAATAATTAAATCAAAATGAAAATAAATCAAAATATATGAAAATTCAATTTATCAATGCAATCAGAAACATTGAAATGGAATTGTAAATATTTAGTATAGCATGTGTGTTGCTCTTACATGCAACAGATGGTGCTGTTTTTCAAGAAAAGCAGTTTTACCTGTCACAGGTGTGGCATCTATACTTATGAAATGAACGGTAAGGTAAACAACACAGCTCAATTCCAACACAATGTCACACAAAATAATTCAATAAAAAATAAAATAAATCAAAATCTATGAAAATAAAATTTATCAATGCAATCGGAAATATTGAAATGGAATTCGTTACATATTTAGTATAGTGTGCATGTTGCTATTATGTGCGACAGATGGCGCTGTTTTTCAAAAACGCATGTTTTTACCTGTCACAGGGGTGGCATCTATATAGTAGGTATATAAAAAGACGCGCCTATTCGAATGCAATGTTGTGTCAAAATTTCAAAGCAATCGGTGAAGAACTTTTGGAGATTACAGCGTGTGTTGCTCTTACGTCCAACAGATGGTGCTGTTTAAAAAAAAATGTTTTTTTCCTGTCACAGGTGAGTCATGTAAATAGTAGATATATAAAAAGACGTGCCTATTCGAATGCAACGTTGTGTCAAAATTTAAAAAAATCGGTAAAAAGGTTTCAAAGATTTCCCTCACATGAAAAACACAGTTTTTCCGAAAAAGCATGTTTTTGCACCGTCACAGACGTGACATCTATATAGTATGATATAAAAACCTGCTCGAATGCGAATGGAACGTTGTGTGAAAATTTCAAAGCAATCGGTGAGGAGCTTTCGGAGATAAGAGGTTATGCACAAACGAACATTTTTATTTATATAAAAATATATATTTTATCCATTTTTATTTATATAGATTTGAGTTAAAACTAACGTAGAAATATGACCAAACCTAACCTAATCTATCCTAAACTAACTTAATTTAACATAACTAAGTCATTAATTTATGTTCTTAATATAGAATACCGTAACCACTAGACCATTGATCGTCTTTAAGGATTGTTTAATCCTGGAGCTTATTAGCTAAGCTCTCTGACTAACAAACCACCGACGACACTCATGGTGCAATTTAGGTACAGTTTTTCACCAAATTCTGGCGCATGCACGGGCCACACTGAGCCTACAATTGTGACTCTGACACAAAGTTCATTTATCACTAAGAATTCCTTTGACCCTGGTCTGGTCAAAGGAGGGTAAGAGGCTACAAGATGACCTAGATAAACTAAAGGAATGGTCCAATGAATGGCTAATAAGGATCAACTTAAGTAAATGTAATGTAATGAAGCTAGGTAGAGGGAACAGGAAACCAGACACAGGATACCGATTGGGAGATAAAAGCCCTTCATGAAACGGACAGAGAGAAAGATATAGGAGTTGATATCATGCCAAACCTGTCTCCTGATGCCCACATAAAAAGAATATCATCAATGGCATATATAAGGCTGGAAAACATCAGAACTGTCTTTAAAAACCTCTGTAAGGAATCATTCAGAATCTTGTATACAACATATGTAACACCAATCCAGGAGTATGCGTTCCCAGCATGGAGTCCATACTATGTCAAGCACAAGATAAAGCTGGAGAAAGTTTAGAGGTATGCCACTAGACTAGTCCCAGAACTAAGAGACATGAATTACAAGGAAAGGCTGCATGAATTGCATTTCACGTCGCTGGAAGACAGAAGAGCTTAGGAAGACATGATCACCTATACAAAATTATCAGGGAAATTGACAGGGTAGATTAAAATGGACGGATTATTTAACTCGGATGGTACTCGCACAAGAAGGGTACATAGGTGGAAGTTGAGTACCCACAAAGACAGAAAGAACTTTTTCAATGTCAGAGTCTTTAATAAATGGAAAGCATTAGGAAGTGATGTGGTGGAGGCTGACTATACACAGTTTCAAATAATAGAGCTATTAAAATATGACAGAGCTCGAGAAGTTCAGGAATCTGTACACCAGTAGATTGACGGTTGAGAGGCGAGACCAAAGAGAAATGTGTGAAACACTAAATTAACAGTTCCAAAGTGTGGTTTGTACAAAATGAGGATTTCAGAGAGCCGGACCCAATGTCAGTTCTGGAGAACACCAAAGAATACTTAGAGGTATCTCAAGACGAAGTAGAAAAATTACTCAAGGAGATAGGAAGAAATAAAGCAGTTCGATTTGACAGAGTTACACCTTGAATGCTGCAAGAATGTGCAACTGAGCTGAGCATTTCACTCCAATTTATATTTCAGACATCTTTGTGCACAGGAACCTTAGCAGATATATGGGAAAAGGCAAACATAGTTCCAATCTGCAAAAATGGTAGCAGAGAAGACCCTCTAAATTGTATACCAGTATCATTAACAAGTGTGGTAGTCAAAACACTAGAAAAAAATTAAAACCAAATGGGTAGAACACGTAGAGAGTAATGACATAATAACAGACAGAAAGTATGGTTTTCGAACAGGAAGATCATGTGTAACAAATTTACTTAGTTTTTATGATAGAGCCACAGAGAGTCTACAGGAAAGAGATGGTTGGGTTGGGTTGGGTTGACTGTGTCTATCTGAACCTAAATAAAGGTTTTTGATTACATGGATGGTGTAATACTAAAGAAACTGTTCATGACTTGTGAGACCAAAATTGGAATATGCCACAGTTGTATGGTTCCCCTATCTCAGGCATGCTACAAAATGGCTTCCGGAACTGAAAAATAAGAGTTACGAGTAGAAGATAGAGTCCTTAAATATGCCAGAGCTAAAAGATAAAAAAAAGAGGTGATATGATCACTACTGAAAAATAATAACAGGTATTGACAAAATTGGCAAAGAGGAATTCCTGAAACCAGCAACTTCAAGAACAAGAGGACACAGATTTAAGCTAAGGAAACAAAGGTGCCGAAAGAATATTAAAGTTTTCTTTTGCCAACAGAGTGGGAGACGGTTGGAACAAGCTAAGTGAAAAGGTGGTGGAGGCCAAAACCGTCAGTAGTTTCAAAACGTTATATGACAAAGAGTACTGGGAAGACGGGACACCACGAGTGTAGCTCCAATCCTGTAACTACATTTAGGTAATTTCACACACAAATCCTTGCAGTCGAGTGAACAGCGTTCTAGAGTTCGCTTTCCAGTCGAGGCAGAAACAATTAAATGGACATTTTCTTTCACCTGATGCCTTTGTTCACCTAGCAGTAAAATAGGTACCTCGTAGTTTGACAGCTTCTACGGGCTGCATCCTGGGGATGTGTGTGTGAGAGAGCAAAATATGTAGTGTATATGATAAAAGAAAAATAACTGATGGTTAAAATGGCGGGGTCCAAGAGGCAACAGTTCAAACCTGGAAGCACAGATGGTAAATTCAAATAGTATATACAACCATATACACACACAACATTCAATTAGTTGATATATCAAAAGTCTGTGAGGAGCCATTTCATCATACTGTACTTCCTAAACAACAAGATTAAGATGCACTTAATTAAAAAACAACAGAAAAAACTCTTAACCCACCAGCAGGAAATGACAACTTACCCTCATGCTTTTCCTGAGCGTGGAAGAAGGAGAGGACGATACTGACGACGGCAGCCACCTGCAGGACGATGAGAGTGGTGTCCTTGAGAGCTCGTAAGACAAGCTGCAGGAAGGTGGCCGGCTTCTTGGGTGGGATGACATTGATTCCGAACGCCTCTTGACGCATCGCCAGCTCCTCCGGCAAGGTACCAATACCTGGCCATGATAGAAACGAGGTTAGTACCTTTTACAAAGGACAGTGATCTCTGAAAGGTCCTTAGTGAAAAATATTTCAGTGACCTCTGCAGGGAAGGTGATGATACAATGTTCTGTGTAATAGAACAGATGAAAGTAAAACAACCTAAGTAGTGGGAAAAGACTTCTGACTACAGTGATCCTTCACACACCTTACACACACACACACACACACACACACACACACACACACACACACACACACACACACACACACGTCCGCAGAAGCTAGAATAATGCTTTTAGATCATCAGAACTAATCCTCAGCACCTTTATCCAGATATGGCTGATCAAGTGCTATAATGCAGTCGCACTTTCCATATGAACTAACAAATATAATACTAAATTCATGGATAAGCCGAAATGAGCCCAGCAGGCCACGAGGACCCGTGACACTAAAAAGAACAAAAAACTTGCAGTCTCATGAATTACTGGAACGGAAGAGAAGGGAACTATCAGGAGAAAACACCATGCCATCATGATTATATATCACATGGACGGGATGAGGATAAAGATTTAGGGTGGAAACTTAGGTAATGGCGCCCAACCACTTGGGCGGTCGGGGATTGAACGCCTGTCTGCATGAAGCAAGCAACATGTTCTCAGGGAGGAAATATGCTCACGTTAATGGATTGAGAACGCCTACATAATTAGCGCTATTATCTTCTCTCTATTCATGGTTAGGTTATGGTTATTTAGGTTAATGTTTGGTTAGGTTAGGCTTCATTATCGTTGGTTACGTTAATACGGTGTATTATTGACGATAATGTGAACTATGGAATTCGAAAACTATTTCACTGAACCCAAGAATTCCGTTTACAGAAAACCAAATTCTTCAAAGAAAATGTTTTCAGCACACACTTGTTTATATTTTAAATCAATGATTTATAATACAATAGAGTTATAACTTGAGACTAATCTGTTTAAGACAAAGGTTCACTTGCCAGTTTACATGTAGACTATTACTGGAACCCTAATATATTTTTGGATTAAAATTATCTGTTAGATTAAGGACCTGCCCGAAACGTTATGCGTGCTAGTGGCTGTACAAGAATGTAAAATCTTCATTGGTATGTACTCTCTTAACCCCCAATGTACCTTTTTGTATATAAATAAATAAATAAATAAATAAAACCCTCAAACGAGATCAGTAATTTACATATTAAAAAAGCATGATTGCATCTAGTAAACAGTACTTCTTAGACCATCCGGCTGTTAAAAACAAACGAACAACAAATATGGGAGTACTCCTAGTAGTGGAAGGGATCCAGACAAGTGTGGGAGGACAGACAGACGCCAATCATTTCTCAATATGCACCTCCACAATTCCTTCACATACCGCAAAAAAGTTAGTATCAGATACAAAAAATGGTAAATACACGCAACATCACTACACGCGTTCCCTCCATCCAAGAAAAGAAGTCAACCAAGATTCAGAATGGGATAGAGAGTGTCGACCCAGCACTTACCAGCACTTACCAGTAGGTAAGTCCACTACGCTCACCATAGCCAGTGATACTTGCCCCGCTCCTGTGCCAGGTAAGTTACGGGCTCACCATAGCCCGTGCTACTTGGAACTTGTTCCGAGTAGCTGAATCTATAACAACAACAGCACTACCAAGGCTACTCAATCCTGCCTCCCCCAACCCTCCATGCAGCCTGGAGTATGTGTTAACCGTGTCCTGGTAGAATACCGGGACATGCTTGCTACAGGCAGAAGCACCGGGTATTAACAAATAAACTCCTGGACGGTACTCGGAAACAACTTGCAGATCGATCCACTAATGCTATTCCTGAAAACCATAAATATCCTGCACTTACTTCAGCGCCACAACATAAGGTTGTGAATGGCTAACCTCTCCCAGCTTATGGTCTTTGGCATATATCACGCAATCCGGTCAGGTAGGGCCCCTACACGTTCACTAGCAGGCAGGGCCCCTCGCACACGTACACCAGCAGGCAGGTCCCTCACACACGTACACTAGCAAGCAGGCCCCTCACACACGTACACCAGCAGGCAGGGCCTCTCACATACGTACATCAGTAGGCAGGGCCTCACACACGTGAGGGTCCTGCCTGCTGGTGTACGAATTTGTTGGCTACCCATAGTTCACAGTACGCCTTATCATCGGGAGTCACTTGGTGTCTCTGGTCTTCCAGTTAGTTCTCAGCGCGGAGAGAGGTCCGGCCCTCGCCTCGTCACGGGTCGTCAAGCATCTACCTAACAATGTTTATCTGCCGGAAAGCACAGTAGATTTTATCCAATAGGCAAAGAGCACCCCCAAAGTTTTGCTAGGTTACCCTACTAGGGGAACGCTTGGGCACATCCGGCCCTGCGCCCTCGTGGCTCCTAAATCAACAACAACCCTTGTCAAGCATTTCCAATAACTACCTCGAGATGGGAACTGTTCCAAGATTGTAGAGGATTAGGAATACTACAAATGGTTAAAAATGTGAGATACATCACTGGCCTCTATCATCAAAACAGTTTAAAAGGCAACTGTGGGAAAATTACTTGAAGTAACTGCAAATACCACTCGTACTCATCTAAAACTATACCCCCTCCCCCGCCCCTCGACAAAGTAAACATTGATCCCCAATACGACTACATGCTTGGCATGTAAAGACATTGTCAAGTTATCGCCAGGAAATCAAGTATTGGAAACGCCAAATAAAATATAGCCTGTATACGAGAAAAGTAATTACCTTCTCCTTAGGCTGACACTGTTCCCACAAACTATTATAACCAAGTGGGAATAAATTATATGTGATCTGATAAAAAAGATACATGAAACAAATTAAATGAGGCCCATAACTTCAAACTAGCATGGACGCCTAGTAACTAGGCCACCGAATGATAATTATAATTAAATTACCCAAGACGGACGATAGTGAAAGACTATAGTAGCTAGGACGTGAAATGATGGGATCGTAACATGCTTTCCCGAGCGACTATAAAGTGATATGATTGGACTCGTTCCACGCGAAGGTTATTATGACCAACACAATGACCGACCAGCAAGAACACTTTAGTCTTGGACATATTCCGGAACTAAAGTAAATTCTTGTTCATGAAAATAATTGACGAATAAATTAATTTCTTATTCTGAACATAGTTGATGAATAAATACAATTGTCGCAGTGTACATAAGAAGATGGGAACATCTTTGTGTATATATCCTATCTGTTATCAAGCCCGACTAGGATATATCACTCACGCAAGAAAAAACGTTCGCTAAGTGGCCGACAAGGAACATATAATTCCCGTCATGCGCGCTGAGTGGCCTGCAAGCAATATACAAGTCATGCTTGCTTAGTGGAAGGCAAGCATTATGTCATATTATCCAGGTGGCAGAAGTAACGACCCAAATAAAGCCAATTAGTCTTATTATATTCATCCTCAAGTACTAGCAGTCTCGTAATTATAGCAGATTGGCATAATTGGCATAATTGGCCATATCTGAGTATGCTACTTACCTCAAATTCAAATTCAAAATTCAAATGTTTATTCAGATAAAGTACATACATACAGGGTGTGATACAAATATTGATGAATTTATAGATAGAGCTAGTACATACAATGCCTAAAGCCACTATTACACAAAGCATTTCGGGCAGGAAAACACTAAAGACTAAAACTTAATACTAATTGAGATTAGAGTATAAAATGTGTTGAGAAAAATATAAAAATAAAAAAGGGGGGAACATGGCAGAAAAACAACAAAAAATACAATTTGGTCGACAAACAGCATTGTTTAAAAAATAACAGACATGGGTTGACATTTAATTAGGTAGTACTTAGTTTTTATCTTAAACTGGTTGGGAGAGGTACAGCCTTTAACATGATTGGGAAGGTCATTCCACATTCTGGGTCCCTTGATTTGTAGAGCATTTCTAGTTTGTTTCTTACCTATAAAGTAACGATGGAGAACTATTGATAATCTATGCTAGAGACAAAAATTTTCAAGCTTTGTTCCTTACAAGATTAAGATGCAACTTGTTTAAGTAATTTTTGAAAAAATTTGAAGTTTTACTCTATTGCCTCTGGACGAGTAGAGGAGCTTGTTGCCAGGTTCGCCGCCTCCCTCAACATTACACATCTTCCTCAAAATAACAGTGATATTTTCTACTTAATTAACCATTCGTGGTTTGTGTATCTAGCACGAATTTATATATTATAGTGGCTAATATTTGACCTGAATAATTAAGCCACATAATAACGTTGTTAATGAAGCACTGTTGATATTTAGCAAATTATAAAAGTACAAAGTAAGAAACTTACACTTGAAAACAAGATAAACAAAGGCAAAATTTACCGTATATATTGCAATTTTAATTCTATTCAATTAATAAGTGTAATTTAAATTGTATTCCATTACCAAAAAGTTTCTTCTGCAATTCATGGAATGAATGATTTGTGAAAAACTTTTTTATATTATATTACAAACTTTTCAATAAACTTTTAATATAATATCAAAAATAATATGACAACTATTTTATTATAATGAAAAATTCAAATGTTTATTCAGGTAATAATATACAATATTATACAACTTTTGATAATATAAAACTTTTTACAGTGATGCTTTCAGGCCTTTGAGAATCGTAATTTCTCTCCTATCAGACATGAATATTTGAGGTAATATTGTCTATCATGAAGCAATAACTTGGGATCCTTTTAATCACTTTAATATTTTCAATTCACCGTGGTGCAAAGGTAAGCACATCCGCCTCGTATGGCAACAAATATCTTAGTTCGAATCCTGGGTGGTGAGGTGCGATTGGGCACCGCTCCTTCAACAGCCTCGGTGCACCCGACAGTGACTGGCGACCTAGATATAAAATGATCAGCCAGTTGTATTGTGGGATAATATACAATTCCTCACAGAAATCCAACATATAGAAAAAGAAGCCCATAATCTAGGGGTGTCAATCACCCTAAATTGGATATCAAGTCACAT